TAAATGAGATATTTCTGTATTTAATTTTCAATAGATTTGCAAAAATGTCTAAAAACATGTTTTCACTTTGTCATTATGGGCAATGGGGTATTGTGTGTAGATGGGTGAGAATTATTATTTTTTAATCCATTTTGAATTTAGGCTGTAACAGAACAAAATGTGTAATAGGTCAAGGGGTATGAATACTTTCTGAAGGTACTGTACTTATCAAGAGAGGAGACTAATAGCAATCCATACTCAATGTAGAAATACAGTTGTTGGTTTAAACCGGTCAAAAGAGAGAATATTAATTCTCAACTATAAGGAGCATGAAACAGCAGTTTACTTACACTTGTTTCAGTGTTTCAGAACGCATATTTAGATTTATTTCACAAAACATCGATTATCATATTCAAAATACCATATCGCCACAATAAAAGGCTTGATTTCATGAGTTGGAAAAAAATTTTTAACTCACCAAAGCACTATAAACTATACTACAAAGTCAAAATAGTCATACCTAATGGAAAAGTTACTGCATCACCATCCAACACAAACTCAGTTGTAAAGCCGGGTGAACCCTGAACATCTACCCATAATTCCCGGCTGATGAAGAGGGGGCTGATGGGAGCCAGGCAGCAGTCTGCCCAGACTGAAAAGTCTCCCCAGACATGTCCCTGTCCTGCTTTAAAGTGCCACTCTACTTCCATTAATTACATTTTCACCAGGCAGCAATAACCTGGGGTCAGTTATAACCGTGCTGTACCTTGATATACTTAAGACCCACTCCATATGCAGCATGGTGGTGTGGAATATCACAGGTGTGGCATGGCCCTTAACATATGCCCAGTGAGCAGAATGGGGGATGATGATGACAACAGTGGGCCCTCCTACCCTCCTGTCTTTCTCCCTCCCACCTCCCTCCCCCTGCCACCTCTCATCCTCATGCCTTCCCCTGTCTCCCCCCTTCCACGTCCCTCCCCCGCTGCGCTGCAGTCAGCCAGGCTGGCTGGCTGAAATTGGGGCCTCGGGGCAGACAAGCTGTCTGGGAGCAGCAGCAGATAAGGCCCCACTGATTTTACATACATACATACATAGACACACAGGCAGGCCAGCATAAGTATATGCCACTGACAACTGGCAGGGCTCAGATGACCTGAATAATCCCACTCTGAGGAGCTAGATATTGTATCACTGGGGGCGACGGAGACAGCAGTAGGTAGGGGACCCAACACCTACTCTGATAAACTTTGCTGTAATGTGAGGCATGGTAATGGCAACGTCGCCCAAATATCACCAGAGTGCCGGGTGTCGTTTGGTCACTGACTGGGGGCTGTTTCGTCAAGCTGGTTAACTGGATTTGTGTCCCCCGCGACCAAACGAACATGGTCTAATCTGAAGGGATCACTGGGAGAGTGATGGGGTTATTGAGAGGAAGAAGGGTCCAACCACCCCTGCCTCCAGGGAGATATGGTACGTTCCAACTCTGGGCACAGACTGACTGACAGACGGATGGACGGACTGACTGACTGACTGACTGACAAGATCTACAGCAGGCTATTTTGGACAAATAACACACACCACCACGTTTTCCATGGATGTCAATGATGATAGCTAACAATTCTGCTGCACTTTCACAAATTTCCTCCATGTTGAAAATAATCAAATTGCATAATCTTTTGTCTCAGAGAGAGAATCCATAAGAATCCACCAGCTTCTCAACCTGAGGAATGACAACAGCAAATGGAGGAAGAGTTGATGATGGGGCTTTGAATGTGCTGGGCTATGCTGTGGCTGTGCTAAACTGTGGCTGTGCCATGCCATGAATAGTGTGCCCATTGGTGCATGAAGAGGAGGTGAAAGGAGAATCACGGGAGACATTGAACATTGGACATTGAAATACTTTCTCCCAGACCTAACCTAGACTATGTGTGTGTGTATATGCGTTTGTGTGCGTGCGAGTCCATGCATGCATGTTTGTTTGTGTGTGTGGTCAAAACCTTCCCGTTCTGCCATCCACAGAGGCTGTGAGTGAGAGTGAGTCAAAGGCATGGAGACAGAGCCTACTGCAATTCCTGTAATGTGACAGACAGTATCCTGCTAAGCTCCTGTATATTGCACTGTTCTGCAGGCCCAACCCACCAGGGCTCAGTGAGAAACACATCACACACCACCGCCACCAGAGTGTAGAGCAGCATCCCAAATGGCACCCTATTCTCTATATAGTGCACTACTTTTGACCAGGGCCCATAGGGCTCTAGTCAAAAGTAGTGCACCATGTAGGGAATATGGTGTCATTTGGGACATGGCCTAGGTGACTCAGAACACAGCTTTACTATTGCACAGTAATATTCAACCCATGTTAAAATCACAGAGACAATCTGAACACACACGAAAGTTCTCTTGTAAGAGTAATCTCGCTCCTCTTAGCTGATATTCTGTGACATTTCCATGAATCACGTACAGATACTATGTTCTTCCATAACTCTGTGTAAAGCATGCTTAGCTTTGCCTTGTACTGTATGAAATAAAAATTCTACCTTCTTAGTCACCATGAACACCAACAGTCTGGGGTTTATCCCAAATGGCACCCTACTCCTTATATAGTGCTCTACTTTTGGCCAAAACCCTGTGGGCCCTGGTCAAACGTAGTGCACTATTTAGGGAATAGGGTGCAATTTGGGATGCGGAGCAGGAGTATCATTATTTGCCAGGGGATTTTGAGAAGCAGCAGCTTGTTATTGAGACTGAAGCGTTGAAGTGTTGAAGCTCCGAGCTGTTTATCATTACATGCTCCTCTCTCTCCTCTCTCTCTTCTCTCTTTCTCCTCTCTCTCTCCTCTCTCTCTTCTCTCCGCTCTGTGATCTTCCCCAACAATTTAATTAGAGGAGAATAACTAAACAAGACAGGGTTCCCTCAGGATTACCATTTGACCAGCATCCAGCCATGTTAAAAACTTTATGGTCCCATGGAAAATGATTCAGACTCGGGAACATCAACGCGGGAGACGACAGAGAGCAGCATATGGTCTCCGCAATAACAACAAACCGTTATGGGCGCCAGGAGAGACGCACCTTGCTTTATACACACCTTAATGACATGTTGGGGGCAACGTTAGTGTCTTCATCTCACACGTTATTACCCCAGTGACACGTCGCATTGCTCTTCTATGTGGCATTTTTACACGGGCTCGAATTAATGACCTCAAAGAGCACCTGTTGTTTTTAGGAACATTAGGAATTAATGGGACACTGGAAAGAAACATTGTCGTCGTGAAAGGAAGCCATTTTCCTATGTTCTCCATTAGAACTAGGTTGATGTTTGATTTCACAATCAATTCCCAACATTTAAAGCTTAAGTACATGGGCTATATGAAGTATATAAGGTCACATTATAACAAGCTAACGTCTCCGCAGCACACACATTAAAAGAGCATTAAAGAACTTCAGGCGAACCTCCTACGTTGATAATAACTGATGGATGAACGACAAACACGACCTGTTGGATGAGACCTGTGACTTATCATCCCACCATTCGGATGACATCACCCTCTGTCATCCAGAAGATGACACCTCTCTTCCTGCTCCCGTCAACATCCTCCTATGATATTTACCCAACCCCGTGTCCCCTCGTCAAAAAGTCAGGACGGGTCTAAACACACAGTGCTGAGAGGAGATTTGTGGCTCCTTCCCTGACCTTCCCCCCACCACAATGGCCGCGCTCTAATTAGGCAATGCATCTGATCGTCATTAACAGCTATGGGATAATGAATCACTGGCTCGTCTCTGTGTTAATTTGCTGTAACCAAGCGGCTAATGGATGTCAGAGCTGACTGATCACACTGATTGTGGTGATTTCTAATTGCAACAAAACAATTTAAAAGCAGCAGGATTATTTATGTTGTCGCCTACGAAGAGGAAAGAGGGATGTGCCACGCCCACCAGTAAAGTAAAATACCTGGAGAGGAGAGGAGAGGAGAGGAGAGGAGAGGAGAGGAGAGGAGAGGAGAGGAGAGGAGAGGAGAGGAGAGGGAGAGGAGAGGGAGAGAGGAGAGGAGAGGAGAGGAGAGGAGAGGAGAGGAGAGGAGAGGAGAGGAGAGGAGAGGAGAGGAGAGGAGAGGAGAGGAGAGGAGAGGAGAGGAGACACTGTACAGATAGCCAGCTGGCTATGCTATGCATGGGAGGGAAAAAGGGATTGTGTTTCTCATTTGGTTCAGATGAAGAAGAAAAGATTATGGTCAGAAGAAGGAAGAGCGAGGAGCGACGCTGTGAAGATTGCACCTCCACGTCGCACGGCCCCCTGGGAAATCCAGCCGAGCTGTGCTGGTGCTCTGACATGGCTGCTCAAAGCCTTCTGATGCACAAACACAAATACATTTCTCTCTCTCTCTCTTTCTCTGCCTGGGCCTCTCTGGGTAAGTGGAAAGGATGCCTCCCTCTACCAAAATCAGATCTGAACGTAATTACCAAATCACAATTGGCAATTAAACAATGAGCAATCGTAACCTAGAATGACTACGCCGGTAATTACACATTAAATACAAGGAACATAAATTGGGTTTCACACATTTTGAGCTACAAATAATTGTGTGTGAATTTTGTGTCTATTGCCCCTGTGCGTGTGTGTGCGTTTGTTGCATTTTGTCTTGTCAAATTATTCATGCTACCACCACCATTGCTTTAGAGTTCATTTATGAAATATTTAATATTCACATCATGCAAAACTACGTGTCCCTCCCTCCCTCCCATGCCCAGTAACTTCTAACAGGGAAGCTTTACTTTAGCTGTTTCTTATGCTAATAGCAGCAACCCTTCCCATCTCCCCCTTCTGTTTGTTTATTTTGCTGAGTGAGCACTGGATAGCCGTGGGCTAGAGGAAGAGGAGAAGAGAGGGAGAGCGGGTTGACTTCAGTCAGTGGCAGGCGGACAGGCACGCGGGCTGGGCAGGCGGGTGGTGGTGGTTGGGAGGTGGAAAATGGGGATATGAGGGGGGAAATGGAGTCTGCATGCAGCCAGTTTACCTTAGGGGCTGGCTAGTGGACCCGTGGTCTCTGCCTCCTGAGAGGCCTCAGCCTCAGTGGCCAGGATGTGAGCTTTGATGGCGTCCAGAGTGCGCAGCATCCAGCTGTGCTGGCGGCGGATCTGCCTCTGGAGCTCCTGCCACTGGTGTACGATCATCTGGAGCATGTCCCTTAGGCCTGGACAGGTAATAAAGAGAGAGAAAAAAAGAGAGAGAGACAGAGAGAGAGAGGGGGGAGGGGGAGAGGGAGAGAGGAAAAGTGAAAGATAGATAGGGAGGGATGAATGGAGGAGACCAAGAGAGAGAGAGAAAGAGAAAGAGAGAGATACAGGAAGGGGGAAAGAAAGAGAGAGGGAGGGAATGGAAGGAGAGAGAGGAGAGAGGAGGAGGAGGAGACGACCGAAGAGAGAGAGAGAGAGGAGAGGGAGACGAGAGAGAGAGAGACAGAGAGAGAGAGAGAGAGGAGAGAGAGAGCAGAGAGAGGACGAGAGAGAGAGAGAAGAGCGAGGAGAGAGAGAGAGAGAGAGAGAGAGAGGAGAGAGAGGAGAGGAGAGAAAAAGAGAGATTCGATAAATGAGAGGAATGGCCATCATCCAGTGCTTGGATTTGCCAACCAACCCTCCTAAAATTACATTTTACATTTACATTTTGAGTCATTTAGCAGACGCTCTTATCCAGAGCGACTTACAGTTAGTGAGTGCATACATTATTTTTTATTTTTCATACTGGCCCACCGTGGGAATCGAACCCACAACCCTGGTGTTGCAAACGACATGCTCTACCAACTGAGCTACATCCCTGCCGGCCATTCCCTCCCCTACCCTGGACGACGCTGGGCCAATTGTGCGCCGCCCCATGGGTCTCCCGGTCGCGGCCGGCTACCACAGAGCCTGGAAAATCCTTCATTCATGTCTCTGTATGTACTGATATTTATATTTTTATTATGATCAACTATTTTACCCATTATCATTATTATTTCCATAGTCCGAGTGAGGTAATGCTCTTCATTTTATATTACCTTGAATTCTTCAGTTGTCCACCTTGAACACAGATGCCTACGTGATCTGTTCTACACTATGTTCACTAATGTATATGTGCACACCAGTATGTATACTGCATGTGATGAGTCGCTGGTTTATAGTTCATCCCTTCCTACACCTGCAGAACCATCAGCGTTTTACTCCAGCCCTGTCTTTGTACCAGCAGAACACTGTCCAAGCAGTCATGATTCACCCAAATCCTGTTTGTTCAAAGTAATTAAAAAGTGCAAATCAAGATGAATGAGCCAGGGCAGAATGTGACCCTGTAATCCACATGCACGCACAAAGGCACACACATATGCTTGTACACGTACAAACACACTGACACACTGGCTGCTCAACAATGTCACACACCGCTCATACCTGTGGAATTATCATGACTGATCTGCAGAGTTGCTAGGAAACCAGGTATTAGTGTCTGCAGTGCGAGAAGTAGGGGGAGAGATTTGCTATTGTGGCGTCCAATAGTAAGCGAGTGAAGGTACTAGGAATTAATGCAGATGAGATGTGGATGAAAGAAGGGAGGGAGAGAGCGAGAGAGAGAAAGAGAGAGAGAGAGAAACAGAGCTGATTCTAGTGAATAACAGTAGGGCTCTTCTCACCTCTCCTCTCTTCTCCTCACCTCTCCTCTCTTCTCCTCTCTCCTGTCAGAGCTTTTCAAACAGCTCCAGGATCCTGGGGGCCATCTGCATTTTTAATGGTGGGCAGCTTAAGAGCCAGCGAGGAGACAACTCGCCAACAGGGAGGTCAGCTTAGCGGATTTGTACATTTGCTGAGCGCTTGGCTGGCTGGCTAGCTGGATGCTTTAGGTGAATAATCGGCCCAGCAGAGAGTAGAGAACGTCTGGACGATGGCCTCTGACTCAGGCCCTGCTGTTCCTAATTCCACCTCTCTTCCTCTACACAGTGCCTCCCTCCCTCTCTTTTTCTCTCTCTTACTCCATCTCTTCATATACAGTACATGGCACCTCGCTCTCTCTACTCGCTCTCATTTCTCTCCCTCTACATCCCTTTCACTCTCCACCTCTCCTCTCTATCATTTCTCGACCCAGTCACAAGCACCAATCTCTCCCAGCCTGCCCGGACTCACTCACTCACTCAATCCACTGCAGATAGAATGCCATTGGTAATGTATGTTGAAAAACGCAGTTTCTTTCCCACCTTCCCCTTGCTTGAGAAGCGGTTACTTTAAGATTTATACATTCTGAAGGTCAGTATGTTAATATAAACATTAATAATAAATGTGAGGGCTGAGAGCAGTGAGAGCCGTACCTGATTTGTGGGAGATGATGACTTCCAGCAGCTGCCTGCCTTCCTCCAGTACACAGTCTTTAAGGGAGCAGTGACTGTCCACATTCAGCTTGAAGCTCTGTAGAACCAGACACAACCAGACACAACATATTAGTACACAGTATTTCAGGGAGCAGTGACTGTCCATGTTCAGCTTGCAGCTCTGTAGAACCAGACAACATATTAGTACACAGTCTTTCAGGGAACAGTGACTGTCCACGGTCAGCTTGAAGCTCTGTAGAATCAGACACAATATGACACACATGATGACACCTCACAACAGTCAACTTACTAGATGTTTCATCTTTATTTCTCTCTCTGATACATAACATACCACACACACTCAAGCATAAACACATGCAATTCTCTATGTTTTTGAACATGATACTAATACTAATTCACACACTAATACACAAAGCACACAAGTGTATAAACTCATATTTAACACCCCCGGTACTATCCCACAAGTCCCAGTCCCTGAAATATTGTGACAGAAAATATTTGTATTTGTACAAACAATCCAACATATTGAAAAACATTAAATCCGACATAGGCTATTGAGTTTTTTATTTAAAGGATGATTCACAATCCCTTTAAAAAAAAAATACAACTCTAGGACCCCACAGTCCCATTCTACACTTCTCTCAATGAAATACACAGTCCCCCTCTCCCTCAAGAACAGCGATGGGCAACTTGGCAACTGGTGGTACCCCTTTTGTAGGCGGGCGGACCAATATATTTGATTTTTTTAGGAACTCAGTCGGGGTCTCAACTTACTGTTGAGAGTTAGAATAATAGAATACACAAGATGCAATTTCGAAATTTGGTTGTGCATCAACAGTCACTCAATTAGCCCATGTCAGCAAAACATTTTTAGATTGGTAAGTTAGTCTAGCAGCCAGCTATCTAAAATTGTAGTAAGCATGGTCGAATTACCAACTGGGGTGGGGCCCATTGATCATCAGTTATCATATTAAAAACTGCAAACATTTGCATCCACCCTATGGTAAAATGTGTAGAATTGCAGGAAATTTGCAGTAAAATTGCTAAATCTTCTCTCCGCCCCATGGCAAAATTAGTAGAATTGCAACAAACCTGCTTTAAAACGGCAACATCTTCTCTACGCCCCATAGCAACATTTGCAGAATTGCAGGAAATTAACTTTAAAACTTAAATATTTTCTCTTTGCTGTCACAAGGGGGGCCGCTAAAATGTTTTGCTCGCAAGGTGGGGGGTATGGATGTGGGTACGCAGACCCACGAGCCACTGCGGCCCCTCATGATGAGTTAAACATTTTTGTGGCCCCCACCCCTATCAAAGTTGCTCTAGAATCCCCCTCTCCCCCTCTTCCAACAGATCATCCCTCCATCCCTTAAAGCAGGGCAAGTCCTGGACATTCTGCCGCCCTAGGCGAGACAAAAAAATTGCAGCTCCTACAAGAATAGTCCCAGTAAGCAAAATAACGTTGAAAAGACCTCTAAAATACGTATTTTCCAGACGTTGAAGGTATTCAATTTAGGTTCTGAATGAAAGGTGAAAAATACGTATTTTCTGGACGTTGAAATCAGGTTCATTTTCAGTTCTGAATGAAAGTTGAAAATATGTATTTTCCAGATGTTCAAAATATGTATTTTCTGGACATTGAAATCAGGTTCATTTTCAGTTCTGAATGAAAGTTGAAAATATGTAATTTATAGACGTCTACGTTTGGGCCAAATCAAGGCTGGTCCAGACTGGACAAAATCTGAACCAAACATAGACGTCTATGATTGGTTCAGATTTCGTCCAGACTGGACCAAAAAACTACATCCGTGGACATGGAAATCAAGGCTGGTCCGGACTGCACAAAAAAAGAAAAGAAGTCCAAAACGCATCAGCGTCGGTCCGTGCTTACTGAGGTATAGCCTACAACAGGGATGGGCAACTCCAGTCCTCTGGGTGCCGGAGTGGTGTCACACTTTTTTCCCATCCCTAATCAATACAGCTGATGAAACTAATTGCATTCTAACCTGAAGATCATGATTAGTTGATTATTGGTGTCAGACATGTTAGCAACAACAACAATCAACTGACAACAATCAGGCACCAGAGGTCTGGAGTTGCCCATCCCTGGCCTACAGTGTCGCCTGAAATTTGTATTTTAGGAATGCCCATCTATGTGGTAAGACGTCCAAAAGATGTCGGCGTCAATACACGCGTAATGAGGTGTAGCCTACCATGTCGCCCCGCAATGGAATTTTATGAATGCCCATCCATGTGGTAGGCCCACTGTTTGTAAAACAGGACATTGCATTGGCTTTATTAGTCCTGATTGCTGTGACTAATCAATTTGGCTATTTAAGCTTTGAATATCAGCTGCCCAACTTTATCAGGAGGAGTTATCCTAAGCCTATTTGCAATGAGTTTACACAGCAGGAAATGTAGAAGTATTTTAATTTTTCGCTCTGATCAGCTCGTAAAACATTGACTGATACAAACTTGAAACCACTGATCATGACAATTTAGCCCACAGGATGAAACTCCTGGACAGCAGTTGTGAGTAGCCTGATTGTTCATTCCATATTCCATTTTACTTTGACCTGTCCCGTTTTTAGGATTTGTGGTTTGTTAACATGTTTGTTAGCATTTTTTATTTGATTAGGTTAGGCTATTTGATTGGAGAAACCTGCATGATGTAAAAAGTTTCCGTCTCACTACATTGTCATATATTTTTTTTATTTTTTTATCTCCAGCCTGTAGGCTACAGAAAAGGCCACATACTCTTTCTACCATATGCTATATCTGCTACATGATTTATGTAAGATTATTTTTTTGACGGAATGTTGGTGGAACACTCAGCGATGCGTCTCTCCAACAGCACCCTGGAGACGCGCGCTGGGAGTGGACAAGATAAATATTTTGCGGCCTTTGACAAAGTGGGCACTGCTTATCATAGGGCGGCATCAGCGCTCACCAAAAAATCCCATATGCCACTGGTTGAGAGAAATTGTCATTGTTTTTGGGCAGAATTATGTGAGTTTTTATGTTGTTGGAGGTGCATCTTGTTCAGTTTAGCTAAAAAAATGCCACCCTCGTCAATCTGCCACCATAGGCAGCCGCCTAATCCTGCCTAATGAGCGGGCCGACCCTGCTTAAAGGGATCTATCATCCACCCATCCCCTAACTCTCCAACGTGTTCAATATTCCCCCAAGCGCCCTTATTACTGTGATGTCTCTATTCCGCTATTGTTATTCTCTTTAAAAATCCCCCAAACACTCCTCTTTCTCTCTCCCATTTCTCTATCCCCCAATACTCTTTCCCCTCCATCCCACCTCTCCGTGGGTGCTGCTATGAAAACTTTCATGTTGATTGGTTTTGATAATACCCAAGGAGCCGGTGCAGAGCCGAGTGCTCTCGTGGTGCTAAGAGTAATCAAAGTGGAGAGAGAGAGTGAGAGAGATGGGGGGAAAGAGAGAGAGAGAGAGAGAGAGAGAGAGAGAGAGAGAGAGAGAGAGAGAGAGAGAGAGAGAGAGAGAGAGAGAGATGGAGAGCGAGAGAGAGGGAGAGGGAGAGGGAGAGAACGTTATGCTGGGACCCGGAGGAGGGGGATGGGGCTGTGCTTTTGAAGATGTGATGGGTGGTTAGGGGGTGGAGGGAGGTGGGGTTTGGAGAGGGTCGAGGATGTGCGTACAGAGGGGGGCTGAGGGGTCCCAGGGGAGTGATGCAGTGAGGCGCCTGGAGCCATCTTCGCCTTAGATTCTCATCTCCTCAGATCTTGGGCCGGCCTGTTGCAGCCGATTAGGGCCTGGTGTGATCTGACCAGCATGCTGAAGGTGTGCCGAGCCAACACAGCCCTGGCTAACTGTATCTGACGGCCTGCCGCCGAGAAAGCAGGGAGAAGAGCAAAGAACGAGGCCAGGCTCTACTACGCTGGGCGGGATGGATGAAGGGGAATGGGACACCTCACTAACTAAAAGATGCCCTCGTTGACTCGCTCTAACGCTGATCCAGGAACAGCAGAACAGCCAAGATGGAGTTGTTCACACTCACTGCAAGGCTCTGTCCGAAATGGCACGTTATTCCTTATATAATGGCACCCTATTCCCTACCGTGCCTTCAGAAAGCATGCATACCCCTTGACTTATTGCACATTTTGTTTTGTTCCAGTCTGAATTCAAAATGAATTAAATGTATATATTTTGTCTCCCATCTACACACAATACCCTATAATGACAACGTGAAAACATGTTTTTAGAAATTTTTGCAAATGTATTGAAAATGAAATATAGAAATATCTCATTTCCATAAGTATTCACACCCCTGAGTCAATACATGTTAGAATCACCTTTGGCAGCAATTACAGCTGAGAATCTTTCTGGGTAAGTCTCTAAGAGCTTTGCACACCTGGATTGTACAATATTTGCACATTATTCTTTTTAAAATTCTTCAAGCTCTGTCAAGTTGGTTGTTGATCATTGCTAGACAGCCATTTTCAAGCCTTGCCATAGATTTTCAAGCCGATTTAAGTCAAAACTGTAACCCGGCCACTCAGGAACATTCAATGTCGTCTTGGTAAGCAACTCCAGTGTATATTTGGCCTTGTGATTTAGGTTATTGTCCTGCTGAAAGGTGAATTTGTCTCCCAGTGTCTGTTGGAAAGCAGACTGAACCAGGTTTTCCTCTAGGATTTAGCCTGTGCTTAGTTCTATTCAGTTTATTTTTATCCTAAAAAACTCACTAGTCCTTGCCGATGGCAAGCATACCCAAAACATGATGCAGCCAACATCATGCTTGAAAATTTGAAGAGTCGTACTCAGTAATGTTTTATATTGGATTTGCCCCAAACATAACGCTTTGAAAAATCTGGGAAACCAGGCCTACTATTCAAAGCAGACTTCGATAAGGCATTTGATAAATTACGACTGGGGTTTATATATAAATGCCTGGAGCATTTCAATTTTGGACAATCTCTTATAAATTGGGTTAAAATCATGTATACTAACCCTAGGTGTAAAATAGTAAATAATGGCTATTTCTTAGAAAGTTTTAAACTGTCAAGAGGAGTGAAACAAGGTTGTCTACTATCGGCATATCTATTTATTATTGCCAATGAGATATTAGCTATTAAAATCAGATCCAACAATAATATCAAGGGATTAGAAATCCAGGGCTTAAAAACAAAGGTGTCATTGTACGCTGATGATTCATGTTTTCTTTTAAATCCACAACTTGAAACCCTCCACAGCCTCATAGAGGATCTAGATAAATTTTCTAACCTCTCTGGATTACAACCAAATTATGATAAATGTACTATATTACGTATTGGATCACTAAAAATAAAAAAATGTACATTACCATGTAGTTTACCAATAAAATGGTATGATGGTGATGTGGATATACTCAGAATACATATCCCAAATGAAATAAATAATCTCACTCCAATAAATGTTTATAGAAAGTTAGCAAAAATAGATAAGATCTTGCTACCACGGAAAGGTAAATACCTGTCAATTTGTGAAAAAATCACCCTGATTAACTCTTTAGTATTATCCCAGTTTACCTATTTGCTTATGGTTTTGCGAGCAGTTTTTTAAATTATATGAGAAGAAAATATTCAATTTTATTTGGAACGGCAAGCCAGACAAAATTAAACGGGCCTATTTATATAATGAATATGAATTCAGAGGACAGAAATGATTAAATATTAAAGCATTAGACGTATCACTAAAAGCTTCAGTCATACAAAAGTCATACTTAAATCCGAACTGGTTCTCTAGCAAATTAGTAAGATTGTCTCACCCAATGTTCAAGAATGGCCTTTTTTCCCCTTTATTCAGATTACAACCTCTCACTTTCAGTTATTTGAAAAGGAAATAATCTCCCAAATATCACTATTTCTAAAACAAGCCATAGAAAGTTGGTTGCAATTTCAATGTAATCCTCCAGAAACAACAGAAAAAAGAATGCAACAAATATTGTGGTTAAACTCAAATATACAGTCTAAAAAAGGTATCATTTTCGTAAATGATATTATCGGTAGGACTGGTGGAGTTATGTCGCACATGCAGCTAACAAAAACATATGGAAATGTCTGCTCTACCCAAAATTACAAACCAAATAATTGCAGCATTACCGCAAAAATGGAAAAGGAAAGTGGAAGGGGGAAAAAGTAAGGAAATTATATTATTAAATAATAGTTGTTGGTTAAAGGAAATTGTGATAAATAAAAAAGTATACCAGTTTCATTTAAGGACCAAAGGATTGACAGCCGTCCCATATAGATTGCAAAATAGTTGGGAAGAGATTTTTGACATACCGATTCCATGGCATAGTGTTTATGAATTGATACTCAAAACGATGCCGGATTCAAAACTTAGAATTTTTCAATTTAAATTATTATATAAAATTCTTGCTACCAATAGAATGTTATTTATATGGGGGATACAATCTTCCCACCTTTGCAGATTTTGCTGCGAAGAGACAGAATCATTAGATCATTTATTTTGGTACTGTCCATTTGTAGCTTGTTTTTGGACACAGGTCCAGGAATGGCTAAAGGATTGCAATATTTACCTGGAGCTAACCCTGCAGATAGCACTACTGGGCGATCTGAAAAGTCAGTCAGTCGATCAATAATATAATAATACTTTTAGCAAAAATGTTTATATTCAATTTACGATCTGTAGAAACAATGAGAATAGAAAGGTTCAGAACATTTGTAAAACATCACAGTACAGTTGAAAAATATATGGCAAATAGAAATCCAATATGGATGGTGTTAAGAAATAGATGGGAGGTGTTGAATGGAGCTGAAGGATGGGACTAATAACAACAACTAATAACAACAAGATAACTAATGTAAAGCATACTGTGTCCATAATCAGAGCACAGTTAAAAGCAAACCAGATGGACATCATGAAAATGATCGGAGGAAGTTCAGGAGTAAAAACAAACAAAATATTATTATTGTAGAATTTGACTGTGTCCATAAAATGTATATAGTATGTATGGGCTGGAAGTAGAGGCCTAAGTGTTGTTTTTCACTAGTTTACTCCAATTGGGGAAGGGGTGGTGGGGTTGGAAAGTAATGAAGGGAAATATAATTTTAAAAAGGATATGTGTGTGTGTATGGATGTATGTATATATGTATGTGTGTGTATGTGTGTGTATATGTGTATATGTACAGTGGGGGGGAAAAGTATTTAGTCAGCCCCAATTGTGCAAGTTCTCCCACTTAAAAAGATGAGAGAGGCCTGTAATTTTCATCATAGGTACACGTCAACTATGACAGACAAAATGAGGAAAAAAATTCCAGAAAATCACATTGTAGGATTTTTAATGAATTTATTTGCAAATTATGGTGGAAAATAAGTATTTGGTCAATAACAAAAGTTTCTCAATACTTTGTTATATACCCTTTGTTGGCAATGACACAGGTCAAACGTTTTCTGTAAGTCTTCACAAGATTTTCACACACTGTTGCTGGTATTTTGACCCATTCCTCCATGCAGATCTCCTCTAGAGCAGTGATGTTTTGGGGCTGTCGCTGGGCAACACTGACTTTCAACTCCCTCCAAAGATTTTCTATGGGGTTGAGATCTGGAGACTGGCTAGGCCACTCCAGGACCTTGAAATGCTTCTTACGAAGCCACTCCTTCGTTGCCCGGGCGGTGTGTTTGGGATCATTGTCATGCTGAAAGACCCAGCCACGTTTCATCTTCAATGCCCTTGCTGATGGAAGGAGGTTTTCACTCAAAATCTCACGATACATGGCCCATTCATTATTTCCTTTACACGGATCAGTCGTCCTGGTCCCTTTGCAGAAAAACAGCCCCAAAGCATGATGTTTCCACCCCCATGCTTCACAGTAGGTATGGTGTTCTTTGGATGCAACTCAGCATTCTTTGTCCTCCAAACACGACGAGTTGAGTTTTTACCAAAAACTTATATTTTGGTTTCATCTGACCATATGACATTCTCCCAATCCTCTTCTGGATCATCCAAATGCACTCTAGCAAACTTCAGACGGGCCTGGACATGTACTGGCTTAAGCAGGGGGACGCGTCTGGCACTGCAGGATTTGAGTCCCTGGCGGCGTAGTGTGTTACTGGTAGGCTTTGTTACTTTGGTCCCAGGTCTCTGCAGGTCATTCACTAGGTCCCCCTGTGTGGTTCTGGGATTTTTGCTCACCAGTCTTATCAGTGGTCTTGTATGTCTTCCATTTCCTAATAATTGCTCCCACAGTTGATTTCTTCAAACCAAGCTGCTTACCTATTGCAGATTCAGTCTTCCCAGCCTGGTGCAGGTCTACAATTTTGTTTCTGGTGTCCTTTGACAGCTCTTTGGTCTTGGCCATAGTGGAGTTTGGAGTGTGACTGTTTGAGGTTGTGGACAGGTGTCTTTTATACTGATAACAAGTTCAAACAGGTGCCATTAATACAGGTAACGAGTGGAGGACAGAGGAGCCTCTTAAAGAAGTTGTTACAGGTCTGTGAGAGCCAGAAATCTTGCTTGTTTGTAGGTGACCAAATACTTATTTTCCACCATAATTTGCAAATCAATTCATAAAAAATCCTACAATGTGATTTTCTGGATTTTTTTTTCTCAATTTGTCTGTCATAGTTGACGTGTACCTATGATGAAAATTACAGGCCTCTCTCATCTTTTTAAGTGGGAGAACTTGCACAATTGGGGCTGACTAAATACTTTTTTTTTTTTCCCCACTGTAGGAAGGTAGCCTGTATCTTTGTAGTGACTGGGTGTATTGATACACCATCCAAAGTGTAATTAATAACCACCATGCTCAAAGGGATATTCAATGTCTGCTTTTTTATATTTTTATCTACCAATAGGTGCCCTACTTTGCGAGGCATTGGAAAACCTCCCTGGTCTTTGTGGTTGAATTTGTGTTTGAAATTCACTGCTCGACTGAGGGACCTTACAGCTAATTGTATGTGTGGGGTACAGAGATGAGCTAGTCATTCAAAAATCTTGTTAACACTATTATTGCACACAGAGTGAGTCCATGCAACTTATGTGACTTGTTACTCCATGCAGTGGTGTAAAGTACTTAAGTAAAAATACTTGAAAGTACTACTTAAGTAGTTTTTTTTGGGTATCTGTACTTTACTATTTATATTTTTGACAACTTTTACTTTTACTTCACTACATTCCTAAAGAAAACTTTACTTTACTCCATACATTTTCCCTTACACACAAAAGTACTTGTTACATTTTTAATGCTTAGCAGGACAGGAAAATTCACACACTTATCAAGAGAACATCCCTGGTCATCCCTACTGCCTCTGATCTGGCGGACTCACTAAACACACATGCTACATTTGTAAATGATGTCTGAGTGTTGGAATGTGCCCCTGGCTATCCGTTAAAAAACAAACAAGAAAATGGTGCAGTCTGGTTTGCTTTATATAAGGAATTTCAAATGAGGTATACTTTTACTTTTGATACTTAAGTATATTTTAGCAATTACATTTCCTTTTGATACTAAAGTATATTTAAACCAAATACTTTTAGACTTTTACTTTACTTAAGTAATATTTTACTGGGTGACTTACACTTTTACTTCAGTCATTTTTTATTAAGGTATCTTTACTTTTACTCAAGTATGACAATTGGGTACTTTCTCCAGCACTGAGTCCATGCAACTTATTATGTGACTTGTTAAGAAAATGTTTACACCTAAACTTATTTAGGCTTGCCATAACAAAGTGGTTGAATACTTATTGACTCAAGATACACTACCGTTCAAAAGTTTGGGGTCACTTAGAAATGTCCTTGTTTTCAAAAGAAAATTATTTTTTTGTCCATTAAAATAACATCAAATTGATCAGAAATACAGTGTAGACATTGTTAATGTTGTAAATGGCTATTGTAGCTGGAAACGGCTGATTTTATCTACATAGGCGTACAGAGGCTCATTATCAGCAACCATCAGTCCTGTGTTCCAATGGCACGTTGTGTTTGCTAATCCAAGTTTATCATTTAAAAAGGCTAATTGATAATTAGAAAACCCTTTTGCAATTATGTTAGCACAGCTGAAAACTGTTGTGCTGATTAAAGAAGCAATAAAACTGGCCTTCTTGAGACTAGTTGAGTCTCTGGAGCATCAGCAATTGTGGGTTCGATTACAGGCTCAAAATGGCCAGAAACAAATAACTTTCTTCTAAAACTCGTCAGTCTATTCTTGTTCTGAGAAATGAAGACTAGTCTATGCGAGAAATTGCCAAGAAACTGAAGATCTCGTACAACGCTGTGTACTCCCTTCACAGAACAGTGCAAACTGGCTCTAAACAGAATAGAAAGAGGAGTGGGAGGCCCCGGTGCACAACTGAGCATGAGGACAAATACATTAGAGTGTCTAGTTTGAGAAACAGGCGCCTCTCAGGTCCTCAACTGGCAGCTTCATTAAATAGTACCTGCAAAACACCAGTCTCAACGTCAACAGTGAACAGGCAACTCTGTGTTGCTGACCTTCTAGGCAGAGTTGCAAAGAAAAAAACATATCTCAGACTGCCCATCTTAATATTTTCTTTTTATATGGCTTTTTCTTTGCAACTCTGCCTAGAAGGTCAGCATCCCGGAGTCGCCTCTTCACTGTTGACATGTTGATAAGCTTAAAACATTGTATGTTAAAAGCACTGTTTGAGTGTAACCAGTTGCACAGCCTTTTTTTTGTTAAGATGCCCAATTAATAATTTATAATTGAATGAACATCTGAGACAAGTTGAGCAAACACATCATTTTAAATTGACTGCATTTTTGACAAAGTTCTCAAGTTAGAGCTAAGTTTGGGCCAACATATTTTTTTTTAGTTCAGGTAACACTTGGACCTAAAAGTTTATTAAACAAAAAAAGGCTGTAGAACCAGTTACTTAATAATAATTAGTTGAAACAACTACATTTGTGGGTGTTTTTGTTGTTGTTTCTACAGTGTATTCATGTTATAGTGGATTCTTCCATTATTTTTTGTACATCATTTACAAAAACATATCTACCTAGATATAGTGGGAGTGAATTACTGTACCATGTACAATACTCAGATTCGAGTGCTATGCTGCAATCTTTAAATGAGACAGAGAAAATCCAGTAAACTTGATGCCACCAGCGATGAGGGGATATGGGCCTGTGACAGATGGTCACCTGGAGGTATTAGTCAGAGATGACAAGGTAACATCTCCTGGCTGGTGGATTTATGATCCACAAGATGGACAGGGGATTGATAGCCTCTCGGCTCTGTGATAGCTTAGAACAAGTCAACACTAATACATTATAACTAGATATCTACCACTGGTGGAAGGAAGTCACACTGAATTATTTCACAACAGATTAGAAAGTATTACAAATTATAATATAGTTTTTATTCCGAGATTCATCCCTATGTTTTCAAGTGAAAATGTAGAAGTGAAGTGAATAGAACAGACCACTAAGCTATCCATCACACAGTGATAGGGTATAGCTCTCTACCATGCTGTCTAGATAATGTACATCTACAGTGTTTATAATAGTGTTAATAAAACGTTGACAGTTGTCGATGATGATCGGCCATCTAATCTTTTATGAGAACAGTTTATGCTTTATTCACGCCACATCGTGAAACTGACCTTGCTGATAAATAGTTGATAAATAGTTGTTTGAAATTCCCTTTATTATACTGTACTTGATCAAAATAGGTACCAATCGTTTCAGAACTAAGGATGAAATGTTTATACCATATAAACTAATAAAATATCATAGGATTTTTATGGTTTATAGTGTGATACAGACAGTATCCGTGTGTGCTGTATGATATGATCTGATATATATTCCATGATGTGTCCAGTGGAGCAGGCAGACTGCAGTGCAGCAGCAGCAAAGAGGAAGTGTCCCAAACTATATAGGGAATAGGGTGCCCTTTGGGATGCACCCAGAAAGTTTATCAGCAGAGAGAGGAGAGGACTGGGGGGCTCTGGGTGGATTTAGCTGGTGGCAGGTGGGTTATTGCTGATTTGACACCTCTCGATGTGCTACAGTATGAAGCCACTGGAACTCGAGCCCCTCGCTCGCCTCGCTTATCTGCTCGCTCCTCTGCTCGCCTCGCTCCTCTATGGTTTAGGCTGAGGCGAGAGGACTGTAATCCCCACATCACCTCACAAAGACAGACACACAGACAGGGCAGGGCCGTCATCTCACCGAGACAGAGACAGAGGGAGAGTGAGGAACGCCGTCATGTATGGATGCGTCTGGGGATGTGGAGGGACAGGGCTCACACACACACACACACACATATAGACACGACACAGACACACACACAGGTTGTGATGGAATTAAAGAGGCGCCATAGCCTGCAGAGGTGTAGTGGAGGATGGTGTTACCGAGGCTCAGAGGTTGGATGTGAGGTGGGAAGGCCAAGGTAGGAGAGATTTGGAAATGAATTGGCTCACTCGGAGCCAGAGAGGAAGATACCTGGCTACTATCATAATAGGAACATAGGCTAAATATTTCCAATTCTATTTGATCCGATTTTTTAAAAATTCACATTAGCATTTTTCTGAGTAGTGTATCGTATAGCTAAATGTGATGACATTGAGATTTGACATTGAAATGTTACATACAAGTGGTGCCTGAGAGAGAGAGAAAGAGAGAGAGAGAGAGAGAGAGAGAGAGAGAGAGAGAGAGAGAGAGAGAGAGAGAGAGAGAGAGAGAGAGAGAAGAGCAAGAGACAGAGAGCGAGAGAGAGAGAGAGAGAGAGAGAGAGACAGAGAGAGAGAGAGAGAGAGAGAGAGAGAGAGAGAGAGAGAGAGAGAGAGACAGAGAGACAGAGAGAGAGAGAGAGAGAGAGAGAGAGAGAGAGAGAGAGAAGAGAGAGAAGAGAGAGAGACCGAGAGACAGAGAGAGAGAGATAGAGAGAGAGAGAGAGAGAGAGAGAGAGACAGAGAGAAAGATAGAGGAGAGAGAGAGAGAGAGAGAGAGAGAGAGAGAGAGAACAGAGAGACAGAGAGAGAAGAGAGAGAGAGAGAGAGAGAGAGAGAGAGACAGAGAGAGAGAGAGACAGGGTTGTATCTATATACTTTCCTGTGTATACTGTGTATGTGTTAAGGGGTTGTGACACCCCCTGGCTAGTGTCAACCCCCCACCCCCTCTCTCTAACTGGGGGCCTCTTGTCCTGACTGTTCATTTGCCACCGGTGCAGAGTGGCCTCGTTAATGTGATTCAAAGAGCTGGATCGGCCATCAAGCTCAATCAATAGCCGTTTCATTTTGCGCCACCTCTCAATGCCTTATAAAGAGGCGCCTGCTCGGCCTGGGTTCGCAGAACTCTCGTTACCGCGCTCCCAGGGGCACCGGAAAGCAGCGCAGCTCGCCGCCGTTCTCAGCTAGATTCATTCCCCTGCCCACCCAACCCCAAAACATTCAATTGGGAGCAGCTCCCCTCAGCGGCCCTAGAGCACAGGTTGACTGAGGAAAACAAGTGCGTCTGGCAGGGCCCGTCTCAATCAATACTAACATGTGAAGCCCATCCCAGTAAAACATAACTACATCTTCCTTCCCCATGCCCCAAAATGACAAACGTGGCTGCTTGCTCCAAAACAAACCTCTGATACTGATAGAGATATACAGTATGCACACACACACACACACACACACACACACACACATGCATACACACACATGCATACACACTGTGTATACACACACAGTTTTGTACAAGGTTAGTGATAAAATACAAATGTGTGTGTACTGGGTGTTCATGTTGTTGGCATGAAGAACAGAGTATACACATGTTTATATATACATGTATACATATGCAGAGAGGCAGTCAGCAGGGAGCTATGCAGATGCATATTTGCTGGTCTCTATGGATGTATGCAAATGTATTTGGAAAGTGTGAATGTGTGTGTGTGTTTGTGTGTACGTGTGTGTGTGCGTGCATGTACGAGTATGTGTGCATCTGCGCGCCTGCACGTATGTTTGCTCTTGAGAGTGTGAGTGATTGCGAGGATGCAGCAAGTCTTGTTGTTTGCATCCATATGCAGTTATGTACTGTGCACGTTCATCTTTGTAAGCCTGTTTGCTTTTTGCATGTGTGCGCATGAGAGAGGGAGAGAGAGGAAAAGAGAGAGATATAGAAAGAGATAGCATGCTATTTTGTCTCGATCTCTATATTTTGGGTAGTGTGTGTGTGTGTGTGTGTGTGTGTGTGTGTGTGTGTGTGTCTGTGAGCGTGTGTGTGTGTGTCTCACCAGGTGTATCTCCAGGTAGAGCTTGAGGCTGTCCATTTCAGCTTTGGGTGGCGTCCAGTTCTCTGTGGTCTCCAGGGCTTCCCTCAGCCAGCAGATAAACTCATCTAGTTTACTCACAAAGCCCTGGGAGAGTGAGAGAGAAAGGGAGAGAGAGAGAGAGAGCGAGAGAGAGAGACACAGAGAGAGATAGAGAGACACATAGAGAGAAAGAGAGAGAGAGACACACAGAGAGAGAGACAGAGAGAGAGAGAGAGAGAGAGATACAGAGAGAGAGACAGAGAGAGAGAGGTAGGACTGTCAGTAATGCCACATCCACAGACACTAAAGTCCATCTACAGCAGCGACTCCAGTCCTGTTGTTGTTTAGTGATATTTCACCTCTTCAGTTAAAACTACCAACATTGGGGTGAATTGATTCAAGGGCAAAACTTGATTTCAAAAGGAGAACATTTGATAGTTGAGGGTATACACAGTACACACATCAGTTTATACACACAAACAATGGGTTGATGGGGGAGATTTCCCGTCAGTAACATTGCCCTTGATCAGTTAGAGGTGCTTAGTCAAAGAGGGGAGGATGGAGGAGAGGCTCGCTGTGTGGTGTGTGACTACTGCCATCCGCTGGCAAGGAAAGGAAGCGACTTCATTCCAACCCAGATTGACAACAGTCTCTCTTCTCTCCCTCTCTAGCATTCATTTCCTCTCCCTGAGCAGAAGGACAGAGACAAGGACTGTGGCGGGCACGGGCGCTGGCGGTAACTAGCATGGTATTTCAATAATTACTACCTCAGATCAGTACATCCAGTGCTTCACCCCCTGGTGTACAGTGTATGGACGCAGTAAACCTTGACTCATTGAGCGGTGTTCCGTAATTGCATTCATGACCCCAGAATTCAATATGATTATATTTCTCTCACTCTCCATGGCAGGCCTCCTGCTCATTATTTGACAGTGATGAAAATCAAAGATATTGATATCAATGACCTCTCTTCAGACGCGGATAGAGCCCCAGTATTGACGTTTTTGGACCTGACTTCTTAGACAGGCTTTGATGTGGTTGTGGATGGCTGGATCTGAGGCAGGATGGGGCTGGGTCCTGGTTCAAAGGTAGAGTTGCCTGGCAGGCTGGCACACATGGTGTAGCATCAGTGCCATCCCAATAGCAGGGCCTGGATGGTGATGTTAGTGTAGTGGGCACTGAGCATAGCCCAGGACTTAGCTCAGTTCATTAACTAACACTATCCCTCTCCCTCTATTGCATATTTCTCTCTCTCTCCCTCTTGCATATTTCTCTCTCTCTCCCTCTTGCATATTTCTCTCTCTCTCTCTTGCACATTTCTCTCTCTTTCTCTCTTGCATCTTTCTCTCTTGCAACTCTCTCTCTCTCTCTCATCTCTCTCTCTCATCTCTCTCTCTCTCTCATTTAAAAAAAGACATTGCATGAATGTCCTGTCTGTGTGCCGTAACCTAGCAGTAAGCTGCTCATATTAGCCAGTGAGATAGGTACATTACAGCAGAATTGTACCAGTCAATGGAAATCAACAGACAGTGGGACTAGAACACAATTCCCCAGGCCAGGGACGTTATGTGCATTTCCTTTTCATCCTCCCTCTCCACCAGTAAAGCTTTCAACCAAGATGAATACACAGCCCCTGGTCACAACAGCATTAACGGCAGGGCCTAGCGTGTCACAGAATGGATTTGTGGGCCAGTGTAATGCGCCAGGCAAGCAGGCAGGAGGAAAAGCGTATGAATAACATGAATGAGCAACATCCCTTCTCTTCCCATCCATCCCCTCAGAACTTCTCCCAGGGAAAGAGAGAGAGACAGAGCAAGAGAGAGAGAGAGAAAGAGAGAGACCGGCGGAGAAAGGAGAGAAAAAAGGCAGAGGTAGAGAGAAAGAGAGAGAGGAAGGATGGAGGGAAGGAAGACTCTGCTCGTCAGTAGCGTCACACTTGACTAGGCCCCTGAGACGCCCCCAGTAGAACCTTCAGCTGCCAGCTGTCTGTTGCCATGAGGATGAAGTCATCTCCAGAGGCCCGCATGCTAATGTAATCAATCACCTCCCTGTGTGACACGTATCATCTCAGGTGGCGCGCCTGGCTGCCTCTCTCAGCCTCACGGCCTCAGCTTCTCTCTCAGTCCCAGGCTCAGCCCCAGCCTGACAGCCCCAGCCTCAGCCTGGCTGTCTCTCACTCAGCCTCACAGCCTCAGCTTCTCTCCCAGCCCCAACCTCAGCCTGGCTGTCTCTCTCTCAGCATCAGCCTCTGTCTCAGTCTGAGCTTCAGCCTCATAACAAGGCTTGGGCGATATACCATTTATACCGTATACCGGGGTATTTCGAAATAACTACGGTATTTTGCAGGGGGTGCGTGCTACGCCACTGCTTATAACTAGAAGTTAAATATAACTATAAGAAATCTAAGATGTGTCAAATAAATGATATCCAGCTCAGGGCTCCAGCTATGCATTTGGTTTGTTAACTTGCTAGCTAAGTGGCTAGATGTCAAGATCAAGCTTCTTGGTTACAGAAGAGACATTCAATCCCCTCCTGGATCAAGATCACTGTTGCCTAAATTGTTTTGTGCATCCCCAATTTTTTTTTATATACATCTATTTGTTTTTTTTTAAATAGCGCCCCTTGTGTGCACATTCGGGAATACTGTATACCCTAGTATGGTACAGAAACGGTATGACGGTATGAAAATCTGGATACCGTCAAACCCTACTCACAACCCCAGCCCTAACTTCTCTTTCAGTCCCAGCCTCAGCCCCGGTCTTAATCTGTCTCTCGGCCCCAGTCTCACAGCCCCAGCCCCAGCCTGGCTGCCTCTCTTTCAGCCTCAGCCTCAGTATCAGCTCAGCCTCAGCCTTCCATCCGGATACAGAGAGGAGAAGGAGAAGGAGAGGATATGCTAATCCTCAGATTGTACGTGAACCATGGAGATGTCTGACTGTCCTGTACATATAATCCTATGTATTCGCGAAAGTGGCAACCTTAGCATCTAGCACTCAGTAATAAGCAATAGAAAGATCAAAAGCGGGTTATGTATTACAGAATAATAACAGCAATAATTTGATGTCCCAAAAAAATGGTATGCATAAAATGAACGCATTGATATGTGGGCATTGTAGACGAGCCTAGGTAAGAATTCTATCTTTTTTTCCAAAGAGAAGAAAGTCATTATTCTCCGTTCCTGCCAGCAGGTGGCATTGAAACTGCACTGTGCTAATCAGGCTTTACCAACGGGAGAGAATTCACTATGTGACTCACTGACTAACAGTGGAGATAAATAGGAAGAGACTGTCTAGTCAAAAGACTGAGAATGCGTCCCAAATGGCATCCTATTCGCTATTTAGCGCACTACTTTTGACCAGGGCCCATAATGCTCTGGTCAGAAGCATATAGGAAATAGGGTGCCATTTGGGACACAGCCAGAGTATTTACATGGCAGAATATCTACAGACCGAGTGAAACTACAGATAACATTCAATATAACTTCAATCATATATTGTAGAGTTCACAGGCTTGGTCTATACTAAAGATTGACATGTCAGGGTTAGTTAAGACATGTGATAGAGGGTGAAGATCACAGAGCAACTGGCAAACCAAAACCACGCTACAAACATGAACAGACGACCAGGGCTGGGAAAAAAGTGGTATACCGACAGAGGACTGTGATGGCAGAGAGAAGGAGGGAGAGAGAAACCTATACGATCATTAGCTCTATATATCGGAAGAGAGGTCCTATCGCTCTCTATCTATATAGAGCTCTATCTCTCTCTATCTATCTCTATCTCTCTCTCTCATATCTCTCTCTCTCTCTCTCTCTCTCTCTCTCTCTCTCTCTCTCTCTCTCTCTCTCTCTCTCTGAGTATATTGTCCTGCAGATTTCCTGGGTCTCTTACTCTCATCAAATCATCAATTAGCTTCCAGCTCCTTCAGAGACTTGATTACATGCTCTTCATTATTTACCTAATGGTCTAATTACATAGATGGGAGACATTAACATGAGAGGCAGGCAGGAGAAGGAAGGTCGCAATGCACTGGTTAGTGGTTTCTATGAGGCTACTCTATGTGAGAGTAGAGAGAAGACGACAGAGCAACGTGTTTCACTAAGCTTTTGATGTGCTGGCCGGCTTTGCTGTCAAGTTTGATTATTTCTGAATGTACAAATAAGAATTGGATCAGAAGATACAGGTATGCAGTATGCTTTCGATTTGGCAACAATTTGCTGAATGAACCTCAAAAGCAGGTTAAACCATCTCCTCTGATGTGTAGGTATTCAAACCTGGCAAAATAACTTCAATTCTCAGTCTGACATTGGAGGAAACCTTTCCTTGTATACTAATGTCATATTACCATATGCAGGATGGCAGCAATGATGGATCTGTTCATAAATCACTTAATCAATACTGCACCTGTCAGTTAAGAACTGACCTTTGAATATTATTTTTTACATTTTAGTAATTTAGCAGACGCTCTTATCCAGAGCGACTTACAGTAGTGAGTGCATATATTTTCACACTCTTTTCGTACTGGTTCCCCGTGGGAATCAAACCCACAACCCTGGCATTGCAAGCATCATACTCTACCAACTGAGCCACATGGGACAATATGTGTTGACATTTGAATTCATATAGACACCATCATTATGAACAGGAATGATTTAGGGAATACGTTCACTTTGGAGTCCATCTACTGTAAATTTCAGGCACTAGAATAACCAATGTTTGAAACAACAACAACATCATAGTAAAACTGTATGTGACAGAGCCTGTGGCTCTCCTTACCTCTATCTTGCCCCATATGTCTGGGTGGTTGTCATGGTGCTGGATGTCATCCAGTAACTGTTGGATAAGGGGTTTACACTGTGTTTCTATGTGGGGGGCCATGGTAGTGGTGGTGGGCTGTAGGGGTAACCTGTTGGTGTCTCTCCTTCTGGAGCCAGTAGAGCTCCCTCTGGTCTCACCGGAGCTCCAGCCCCTGTTGTTGTCTCTCATCCTACTCTCCCCGGAGCTCCAGGCCTCGTCCTCAGACAGTAGGTCACTGAGGGGGCCCGACTCAAGGCTTTCATCCAGGGACGGAGCCATGTCGCTGGATGAGGTGGGTGAGAAACGATCCATCCCCACCCGGAAGGGCCTCTTGTAGGGCTGTTGGAGGGCGGGGAGGCCAAGAGGGGGGTTGGGGCTGCCCGGGCCCTCACCCTCCCAGTCTGAGTTGACCTCAGTCAGCTCCCAGTCGTCCACATCCTGGAAGGACTCGTGGTGTCCCTGGTGGCCGGGTCTCTGGGGCAACGCCTTGGCAAGGGTCTCCAGCTTCATAGCCAACATCTCTGTCTTCTTCAGCTGGGCGGGCAGAGCCAAGAACTCATCTGACCCGAACCACCGCTCTTCGCTGGGGTTAGGGCTATCCTCGGCTGAGGCTTGGGCTTGGTGGTGGAGATGGGGCCCCAGGGGAACCTGGCGCTGGATGATCCAGTCGGATGCTTTGGTGAGGGGACTGGAGTCCTCACTGGAGGCCTTGTCATGTGATTCGTGGTTCAAGGGCTCCCTCATGGGAGAAGGTAGGGGGCTGTCTGTGTCTCTGACTGTCTGTGGATCATCAATGCCCCTGTTGCATTCCCCAGTGCCTGAGAAGGGGCTGGGGAAGGGGGAGAGGTCTTGTGGGAAGTGGCCTCCCTGCCCTGTCTCTGAGGAGCTCCTCTGCAGGGAGATGTGAGCTCCAGCAGGGCCCCCCTGTCTCTGGTACCCTCCAGCCTCGCTCTGTCTGCTGGCCTGCAGGTTCCTGTCGTTCATTGCATGCAGGCTGTTGTAGGACTGGCTGGCGTTGCTGGGGTACACAGCGTCCAGCTCCAGCCAGAACTTGGAGCGGTCCGGAGGGTCCAAGAGGGAGGGGGTGCTCCGGCTCAGGTCTGCCTGGAACTGAAGAGATGGAGGCAGGGTGGACCTCCTCAGGCTGAGGCTGGTCTCAGTCTCTCCCTCCAGGTACATGAGCTTCTTAGGCAGGGAGGGCTGGGTGGGGGACACCTCGTTACTCACGCTGCCCTGGAGGGGGCGCTTGGAGAGCGGAGTGCTCTCACTCTGGGACGTGCCGCAGAGCATTGTGGGCCCTGGTGCAGGATTGTTGTCCTCT